CATGTACTTAAAATGATAATTGTTCATATACAGCGCTCTTTAACAGGAATACACATACAAAATCAACACTTTTGTGACAAATATGTCACAAATTGGTAATACTACAAATTGCAATATCTAAACGTGTAATCTAAACGGAATTTTCACATGTTTTACAAAGTAATACAATTTGCTTTAAGTGCATAATGTTATATATCTGCTGCAAAAATTATTGCTTGGGTTTAAAAAAAATTACTACCAAAATGCTTTTATGAAATAAACATGATAATTTATTGCCTTAAAGTGAATGATGCATGCACATAATCATTGATAAACAGATAAAACCCTACTTAAAATAGCAAAATAATATTTTGTTCCGGAACATTTTATTCTGTTTACGTACATTATTCATGTGTATTAAATAACAGAGACATTCTATGTTAAAACCTTTTCGAGAATCATCCATATAATAATGGAGCCAATATAATTTTACTGTTAATAAATTTTATAAAATATTTCATAAGATATAGATCTATACCCTGAAACAGATTTACTTCTTCATAAAGTATAAATTAAATTTTGACAACTGCAGAAAATGCTGCATTTTTGACCTGCCAATATTTTCATCGATAAACATTTCGTGATACAGTTAGTCGTTTTTTTCGTGATGGGATCGGCAATGTCTGCAACTCTTTCGGATAGCGACGTTTTCCCTCACGTCACGGATGTCTAAACATTTCCAACAAATACAAGTATCGAAGTGTCAGCCCTGTTAAGTGTTGTTGTAAACGGAATTTCAGTTGTTTCACATTTTTATATAATAAATAATATGTAATAAAACGCTGTTATATATGGTGGCTGATTTGGTACACTTTGCGCGTTGCGTTGTCGATAGCGACAACACAACCTCTATCGTTATCGCCTTTTCGTCTTGTCGCTAGCGAATTGCGCGTTGTCGCACTGTTGTCTTGTCGTCCTGTCGCTAGTGAAGCACGCCAAACGGTGCGTTTTCATGCTGCGCGTTGTCGCAATGTCTCCCTATCGCTTTGCTTATATAATATTTATTATTATAAATCCTTTGATTTGAGCAGAGCGACAATGTAAACATCGCGACAACACAACACCGCACAACAACGCACCATATGGCTCGCATCGTTAGCGACAGACGACAAGACGAAAGTCCGACAACGAGCTGTTTGGCGTTTTGTCGTGCTGTCACTAGCGGCAACACGACGCACAAAAGATAAAACATTGATCACTTGCATTTTTTTTCCAATTAAAAGAAAAATTGGGAATACAGTGAAAATAAAAACTTTAGGAAATTAGATTAATTCACGCGCAGAGTTACATTCTTTTCCGATGCTTAACAGTAAGTTATACAAAATTATGTTTTATAGATAAAAAAAGCACCCCTAGCATCCTCATTATTTTATAAAATTCTTAATAAACACTGTATACAAAATTCACTGCTAAATACTTTTTACTTCATTATATGATTTTATAAAAATGTCATATTTTAAAACATATTCTTTGTCTTTACTGTAAAAAAGGAACACAAGTGTTCGTTTAAATTTAAATGATTAATTGAAAAATAGAAAGATAGATTGGCATGTAGTGAAGATAAGGTTTGTACTTATCTTGCCGTGAAATGACATTAAATGAGCGCATACACACGCAATCAAATTCAAAGGCAGATAACTCAGAAAAAAACATCACACTAAAAAACACAAAAAAAACCCCCAGTGACCCCCATTCTTTTTAAGCAAATGCAAAGTAAAAATTAATTCTACCATACATTTTTTATTTTGCCTATATGTTTAGATCTATATATAACGTAGCACGTGCCTTTAAAGTAAACAGAACTTAAAGGTTGTAAGTGAAATACATGCGTTACCGCCATTACTTTGAGTTCAGGAATTATACATGTTTATCATTAATACACTTAAAACTTCAATGTTTTTCAGAAATGGGATTATGGGTTATAAGCGTGATTCATGCACTTATGCAAGCAGTTGTACACGGAAAAAAGTGAGTTCAAATTTTTCTTTGATATTTTTTACGTAAAGAGCGCTAATTTCACATACAAATTAAATTAAACATGCAATCTGACTGATCTTTTACAGACATTACATAAATGGGATAATTATGGTCTCGGGTTTCTTATAGCTAAAATTTCATTTTTGTCTGGTGAAAATGGAACGCTACACAATCAACACCAAGACCTTTTTTGTATAGAAGTGTGTAAAATCTGTTCACATATTTTGACTTATGGTCACAGCTTTAACAAACAATTGCTATTTTATTCTAAATCAATGTGATACTTATTTTTGATGAACTGAATATAATCGTTAACGGTGAAGATTAAAAGCTGTCTTTATATTTCAGTTCATATATATTAATGTCCCCAAGAATTGTCCGACCAGGACGGAATTTAACTATAGAAGGGGAATTGCTCGAGAACCCCTCTGAGCCAGTGATAATTTCTGCAGAATTAAGCAATAATGGAGGCCCAATTGCTAGTTCTAGAGTAACTTTAAACGGAAAATCAAGTAAGTTTTTTTTCCACAATGCAATAGATGTCCGTTTGAAGCTCAAAACGTGCTTCTTATAGATATACATGTATTTAAATATAAATCAGCTTTAAGCATACATGTATTCTTCATGAACTGTTGAAAGTGAGATTCGATTATTCGGCATATTAGAACATATTGATCATTTTCAATGGTAATGCATTAACATTTTAACATTGTTGTTAGTGCATAGGCATACTATTTTTTTTTCAGAAATACAATTGGATATTCCGGTATGTATTACAACTTAATATGAACCAAACACTTTTAAGATATTAATGAAGTATCGTTGATCTTCATAATTTTTGAATTTTTTAGAATGTGTCCTGCAAAAGAATTTCACATATATACTGATCATAGTAATTTTAAGTTAATTACGTTTGTTTAAGATTCACCAAAGTGTGAATACGAACTGTCTGAACAAAACTGCTTTGTTATCACAAAATGTTCTGAAAAACAGCATTTTATCCGTCTGTGTGTTTTTTTTGCATGTGTGTCTTGTGTAATGTTGTGTGTTGTGACACATTTTGTAATATCCTTTTCTCTTAATTGTGGGCAATGTCAGGTTTTACCGTTCCATTCTCCCCTCGGTTTCCGTTTTTGTGTCCCTTACTGTTCCTTGCCGCAACGTCCGACCTTGATCCCCTTAATTTATGTATCAGCCCTTTATAGCATACTCTTTTATAACTCGTACTGCTGCTTTTTTGTTAAATGATTTGTTTATTGTAACAGTTATTAGTACGTCCCTCCCCTCCTTTTCCGCTCTTATGTCCTCTTTTTTGTTTGGTACCCTGTCGGGTGCCTTGGCATTGTAATTGGGTTGTGTAATGGGCTGCATAATGTGAGCGTTCCCTTCCCATGTTGATTTGTGATCTCAATTTTTGTCTTGTTTAAATACAAATGTTCATATCGTGCTAAATAACGTGTATGAAATATTTATAACTAATATTTTGCCATCGCTTTTATGCCACAACATGCATTCAAAGAAGTTTTTTGCTTCTTATTCCAATCCCAGGTTTTGCGTTCTACAACGTTAATTATTATGTTTGTTGCTGCTCATTTTTCGTCCTGACATTTTGTTTACATTTCATGTATCTAAATATTTTTTTCCAGGTTCCAAACCACATAAATTTTGACTCTGAATTGTTTAAGAGGAAAGAACTCAACCTTAAGATATCTGGGTCAGGCGGACTATCCTTTACAAATGCGAAAACATTATCATATAATGCAAAAAGTTCATCTGTTTTCATACAGACAGACAAAGCTATTTACAAACCAGGACAGCCAGGTAACTGCTTGAAAATATACCCTAAATCTTAATAAAAGCCGCGTTTTAATTTTTGGTAAGAGATTGGTGGCGTATTTTCTATGACGGCATAGCCAAGAGGCCGGCATATCTTCAGTTTTAAAAAAGTCTCACAGGTGTATTTTCAGATCAATGATAATGTATTCTTAAATTTGTAGTGCAATTCCGAGTGTTTGGTGTGACTCCGGAGCTAAAAGTTATATTTGACAAATTGCATTTTTGAATTTATGAAAAGTATCAAAAATTCCAATTCAAACCCTTTCTTTTTAATAGTATAAATAGGATTATTATGTTGAGTAGCTACCTGAATTTTTTTCTTTTTAGCTACGAGCGGGTTTGGAAAATTTATATCTCGTGAGACCTTTGAATCGTTTTAGCACTTCATGCTTCTCGTGTTAATTAGTGATAAAATTTATAGGTATATAAAAGCTGTTTAACTTTTACTATTATTCCAAATGAGCACGATATCTAGAAAACTTGATTATATAACATACATGTATTTATAATTGCATTGATCTTTGATTATATTACAGTGTAACTTCCGAATTCTAATGATATTAAGTGGCTTAGTCTTGTCCACATTATCATAAACCTCTGAATTCCGGAAACCTCTGAAATCCGAACTTTTTGACAAGTCCCATGGGTGTTCGGTTTTCGGAAGTTACACTGTAATATGATTGAAATGTAGTTGATATGATAAAATCGTTTGTTTAAAACTTGTAGACAAAAGATATTCAAAATGGTAATAAAGAGGGATTCAAATATCAAATTCATTAGACTAGCAAACATGTATATGTTAATATGTTCATAAAAAACCCTGGAGAAAACAACGTTAATAAATATGTATTTAAATAGTATATTTTTGTTCAACTGTTTTGGCTTACAACTACTAGTATATGAGCCGCGTCATGACACCAACATAATGCGTTTGCGACCAGCATGGATCCAGACTAGCCTGCGCATCCACGCAGTCTGATCAAGATCCATGTTGTTCGGTTACAAACCCTATTACAAGTAGAGAAACTGATATGCATTTTGAAATCCAATATTTTTTTCAGGATCCAAACGGAAACAAAATAAACCAATGGGATGTTAGCGGTTCCAAAATAACAAAACTAGGAGGGGTTTATGTGCAACACCAGCTTATGTCCGAACAACCAGTGCTAGGAATGTGGAAGCTTAAAGCTAAACTGCTATCATATGGGGTATGAATAATGGCAAAATGACACTCATATTTCATCTGAAATCATTTTTGCTTGCTCTTGCTAAAATCAACTCTTGAAAAATATCAAGTGAAGTATTCACATTGTACAGAGTATTGATATGTAACATACGCATTTGTTTTATTTCAAATTAGTCTTCTTTGCAATACATTTTGTCTTTATGAAGATATATACATGTATTGATTTTTTCAGGAGGAATTCGAAGAAAAATCATTTGAAGTGGATGAATATGGTAAGATAAAACGATTCAATGAAATAAAATGTGAAAGATCAATTATTTGTATTTTCCCTTTAGCATTACCGTATAAGATTTCTTCTAAGCAAAGTATTCTATACACAACAGAAACGCGGTTTTTACCTTGATTTAGGAAAGAAACTTTATCCACAAGATATTGCATATAATAAACATAAATAATAATATTAATATAAAAATAAATATCTGCATATGAATAATCTCCGATTTGTAGCAGGTAACAATTTTCCACTCATTTACACATCTAAAAAAGTCCAATCTATAGCATATGAAAATTTCCGCTCTGCAGCAAATAACAAATTTCCTGATATATTGCATATCTGTAGCAAATAAATTTACGTTTTGTAGCAAATTGCAATTTTTCGGTCTGTAACCTATCTCTTATTTTTAATAGTAAGTATGCATAACCATTCAATTCATGATGTACCATAAATTCAAACTCATTTCTGATGACATTACCTTGAGATAAAATAAAATGTAAATTATATTTGTTTTTTGATTTATGCTTATTACTTTTGAATTTACGTCCATTTTCGCTTTCAATGAAATTTTAGTATCGAATGTAAAGATGACATCATTTGCTCTCTATAGTAAATTAATGGTAACAAATGTTTTTTTTTAGTTCTCTGATAAGAATTGTCTGATAAGAATTGTCAAAGTACTCATGCAAGCCTTTCTTCTGAAAAAATTTATTGCAATACAAAAACCTTTGACGAAATATTATGTACTGGACATTTTAAGATATGCCACCTATACCTCCATAATGGGCACTTTAAGGATTTGTACAAATTAAAGTACGCTTGTATGCAAAATTCAAACATAATTTACCGTACGGTTTATGAGTTATGGACATTTTTTTCTGAACTAAAGATTGGCTATAAGAAGGGCTCATTTCAGAAATGAGAAAACTCTAAATAATCTATAATAAAATGAGAGGGCCTTATTTAAAATATCCCTAAAATTATTTAAAATGAAAGGCTGCACATTTTTTATTATTAAAGTATATTCGTTGCTCTTGTGAAATTCAAAATACCTTTACCGTGAAGTTTAGATTTTATAAGACGTTGAAAATAGCATGTACCATATTTGTTATTAAATTTGGCATCATTTAACCAATAGATACCTATAATACAGTATAATCAAAATTTAACACTGTTTTCTATCCAAGATGGATCTGACAGATGCATAGAAAAAAAAGAAAAAAAGAAAGAAAGAAAAAATTGTATTTTGTATGGTTTGAATCCACGCCCCACTGTTTCAATGACAGTAGTTCCTGCATATTTGAAGGCTCTTCAAAGCAGAGATAATAAGCGAAGATAATGCATAAGTGTTTGTATGTGTATTTTTCTTTCTTTTTTTGGGAGGGGGGATGGTCATACCTTTAGAGCCAACATCAAGCGTAACTGCCAGGCTTCACAAGCGCTATTCAAATGAGCACCGGTAGAGTTCAGCACACAACCAACAGAAATTCACTTCATTGTTTGTATTATTTCAGTTTTACCCAAATTTGAAATTGAGCTCGATTTACCGTCATTTGGAAGAACTGATGTGACAAAATTCACGGGAAAGATGAAAGCCAAGTAAGTACAACTATTTCTAGGGTAATATAATTTACAGTAATTATATATCCCCTTATTCTCTTTTCTTTGTGAGTTTTTATGTTTTATTATAACTACATAAAGGTTAGTTTACTGTGTTTAATTTTGCAACAATAAAATATATATATATACCCTTACAGTTGTTCATGCAATTTGCATACTTTTGCAGGTATACGTTTGGAAAACCAGTGAAAGGCATCGTTGATATTCTTATTAGACCTAAAAACGAAAGATTTCAGTGGATAAACGGATCAAGACAAAGAGTCAGCAAAGTTATTAGTCTGCAAATGCCTGTAAGTCCGTTAATTTTTACACTTTTATAGTTTAAATAAATTATACGAGCGGAAAACAAACGATCTAAACAAAATCTCATTGAACAAAAATGATGCGAGTAAATTTTAGAATTGATACATTATATTTTTTATTTTTTTCTATGATTTAAATTTTGAATTTTATCCTTTCTAATATTCATAGATAACTGGTGAAGTAAAATTCACTATCAAAATGACCGAACTGACAGATATTCAGAAGTTCTTGAGCGGTTCTACGCTAGTTTTTGAAGCAAACGTAACAGATGACGTAACAAAATTTAAGCGAAGTGATATACAAGAGATTACCTTCTTTTCTCAACCAATCAAACTATCGTTTCTTACTTCTCTGCCAGACACATTCAAACCAGGAATGACGTATGACGCGGTGGTGAGCATTTATTATGATAAAATGAATTATTAAAAGCAAATATCAAACATTATTTTTATATATTTTATATATTCGTCATATTTTGTTTTTGTAAAATTTCTTTGTATGTTCTCTTTTTTATTTTTATTTGGCAATGCTAAATGCCACCAGTATTAAAAAATAGGTAAAAAATTTTCTTGGCTATACTTTGTACAACGAGTCTTCATGATTGTAGATACATATAGGGTATCTGTTTAAATACAGTGTAACATATGAATTTATCTTGGTCCTCGAATCTTATATTTAAAAAAAACACAACAAAAAAAACAAAACAACAACAACAAACAAACAACAGCAGCAGCAGCAGCAGCAACAAAAACAACAACAACAACAACAACACAACAACAAAAAAGCAACAATACCAAACAAAACAAACTTTCCGATGCAACATTACAAACCATCTTATAATATGATCAGAACAGAACTGTTCTGTACAATATGATCGATATTTAAGCAATTTTATATTGTCATTCACAGGTTATTGTTGCTCAAAGAGACGACTCTGTGCCAGATATGATAAACGGGAAATTGAAAATTACAATAACAGAATATAGAAAACAACATAGAAGACCCTTTTTCATGGATCGATCAAGAATTAACTCCATGGAAAGTTTCCGGGCTTGGAGGGGAAGGAGACCAACATGGCAAAGAGAAACAAAGAAAGTTCTAGGTCCATTTTTCCATGCCATTCCAGTGGACGGCGTTGTTGTGTTCCCTATTGAAACAGAGAGTGGCGTCAAAAAAGTTGATGTTAAGGTAGAGTACTTCAAATCCCTCTTGTTTATATCGCAGCAATCTACCTCGTTTATTTTATAAGAATTGCAGTGTTGAAAATTAGAAGTATATTTGTACACACATTTTTATCGGATGTTTGCTCCTGCAGTTCAAATATACATACACATATTTTGTTAAGTAAAAGGTTATAAAATGAGAACTATGGATGCCAGTATACTTTTGATTGTTTGGATAACTGTCAAAAGTATCTGAATTTCTATTCTTTTAAAAATTTAGCATGGAAATGTTAAGTTTAACATTCAATAATGTCAGGTAGTATTAAATATTTATTAACCAACTAACTTGTATTGGTTTAACAAATCTTTTTTAGGCTGAATATAATGGGGCGTCTACATTTAGAACATTGAAAAAAAGACATTCTCCTAGCAACACATACTTACAGATGAGGCTGTTGACAAGTAATCCAAAGGTACGTTATTTAACAATGTCAACAATGAGTTGCATGCATTTTCAGTAGAGAAAATCGTGCAAAATTATAAATATTCTCATAAATTTTATATGACCTCGTCTGTTCCATACAGACTGGAAACATTGATGGCAAATTTATAAGAAAATATTTAGTCAGTTGAATTCCAATGGTTGTTTTATGTAATTTATTTACACATACATAGAACCATGCTATATTTCAGGCTGGGAGCCCATTGGATTTAGAAATAGGAAGTACACATGATATCCACGGTTATCTTAGTTATCAGGTAATAATGAAACAGTAATAGTGTGTATGTATTATTTCTTACATTATAATGTACTTCCATGAACTATAGGGAAACTATTACACTTTTCGATGGTCTAATTAACACAAACTACATTTACATAACTATTTATACTTTAAAAAGCAAAAGGATTTGACTACTATTATAGTTTTCTATTAAATAAAAATAAATGAAAAAGTTTAAGCTTTTACGTTTTTTTTTTCATGCAGTCATATACAGTTTTAATTAGCATACATCATCTGAAGAGCATATATTTTAAGTAAATCATTTACTTTTACCTATCTTTGATTACTTTTCAGATTTATTCGAGAGGATCTATCGTTGAATCTGGAACAATACCAATGTCCAATAGGCGTCAGACATGGACATTTAATGTAACTTCAGCTATGGCACCAAAAGCAAAAGTAGTTTTATATTATGTAAGATCAGATGGTGAAGTAATTGCAGACGTATTGACAGTTAATGTACAAGGCGTGTTCCAAAATAAGGTTTTATATACGTTTTATTTGATATGTATAAGTATGAACATTAATGTGCAAATGTATAATATCTATTCTATTTTTAATGTAAAATTATGAAAATGAGATACAACGTATGTTGCTTTTCTAAGTGAAAGCATGGAGAAAATGTGTAATATTCAGAGATATTCTAAAAATCGACCAAAGGGCGCTAGGATATGACTTGACTTCACGTCTTATTTGTTGTTGTACGTAATTCTGAGGAAACTTTATGATGTGCATTTAGGAATCTGGAGAATTAAGCGCTCCTTAGCTTTCTTTTATATATACATTCCAATCATAGAAAAAATAGAAAAATAAGCAAACTGAGCAATGTCGATTGATTAGAGGCACCTTTGATAAGCCATATCAAAGTGATTTTTTTATATAGAAGATATATAATGATATAGATACATACGTTTATTCCAATCATAGAAAAAAATAAACAAACTGAGCAATGTCGATTAATTAGAGCCATATCAAAGTGATTTTTTTATATAGAAGATATATAATAATATAGATACATACTTTTAAGCTGGTGAATATGATGTGATATGTATTGAAACAATTAATTTTGATCTCGGCTATCGCCTCGGTCATTATTTTCAGTATATATCCACCAATCTAAAATGTCCATCTTGTATTACATATATTGTATTTTTATTTCATGTGAATATTGTATTTCTATGTTAAAGTATGAAATTAATATTTTAGGTTGACATTAAATTTAACCAAACTAGTGCTGAGCCAATAGACAAAATAAGTCTTGATGTAAAAGCAGATAATGGGTCAACAGTGCACGTGCTCGGCGTAGATAAAAGTGTATTACTGATGGCCACTGGCAATGATATAACAGAGTCTCAGGTAAAATGATAATATGTAATTGCAAAATTTAAATGAGGTTGTTCGTGAACGGCACTGGTAAAAGGAAGACATTATCCATGTCTGGTAACATCAGTTAATGCAGATCTAAACATTAAAATATAAAAAATTAAATTGTAATTCAGAATTTAGAAAATTCAACACTGAAATGTAGATCACGGGAACTTCAATGTGAAATTTTGTTGCCATACCACTGCAAAACGGCTTATAGTTTGTAAGCAAAATAATGTATGTGCCCTTAATTTTTTATATGTGAATTCTAACTATAAAGATTTAAATAGATAAAGAAATTAATGATATCTTAACTGTTTTATTGACAAGGTTAGTAAAGAGATTAGGAGGTATGCAATTAAAATTAGGAAAACGTCAAGTTTTTCTGGATGTAACTGGCGGTGTTGGAGAATGCCAATACCGGTCGGTGGTGAAGATGTAATGGACGTATTCAATGATGCTGGGGTAATCGTGTTTACCGATGCTCTAATCTACAAGCACATAAGAGGTAAGTTTAATATACTGAAGTACGTATAATTATAGACTTGAGTGAACTGAACAGAATACATGTATATGACCTGAGACTAATCTGATTATTGCAAGCCAATTGCAACTTTTCGGCCTCCGTCAGTCCCGGGATAAGGACCTCGAACACAATAGTAATAATACACAGAATGGTATTTCGGTCTAACCTACGCTAAGAAGCTAAACATGTAAACAAATAGTCACTTAAGCCTAGGAGTTGAAGACTATATTTATTCAAAAAGATCAAAGGGGTAAAAGTCCACCTAAAGTATGTAAAATTACGGAAATAACAGTAAACAGTACATAATTCATTTACTTATCATTCGAAAGTACAAATTGACTATCTGTTGACAAATATTCGGATTTTGTTAAAATTGTCCATCAGTGAGCATTTTTAACTTGATTATGATTGTCAGTCATGTGTTCAATAATAATTTTACCGAAATAGACTTTAATTTTCATTTGGGTGTCAAATATACACATTCGTTACACATTATCAAAGATTACACCCTCGGCTTTTGTTTATATTTAAAACTACGCGGTAGAAATACTTTCAGTCCGTATAAGTCCGTGGTTATTATTGATAATAACCGAGATGATCCGATTACATTGCAAGCCAGGTCATTATCTGGTCATCTTGAGCTGTACTTAACACTAGTGAATATAAGTAAGCCAGGATCTCATAATGAGACATAAGCGGCAAGTGTGCCAATAAAATTGACGATACAGCGAACCCCCTCATCCCAAACCTTCACCCCTCCCCCAAAAAGAATACACAAACACAACAACAACAAAACACAAGTTATTGACAAAGATACTGCATATGTGATAACCCTTTTATTATATACTCGTTCTTCCTCGGATTTAAATGTTTTAATCTTTACCTAATGGTTTAAAGGTCAGGAATTATATTCATATTCGTATACAATATGGATATATATGGATATGGATATACAACAAAAGGGTATATAACACAAGGGCGGTGATAATATATACACCATGGCTATTATCACTCAACATTACAAATATAACTCATTTCGTGGTATTGCACAATTTGACCGTCTTTGAAAACAATGCTTTTAAACAATTCTTCTTATCACGATCAGTTCTATCTAGCAGATTGGGATTTACATGGAATGAAGTCTGTAAATGGTTAATGTATTTACTACATGATGACCATGAAAGACAATATATATACAAATATATTACGCAACAAGTCTGTGTACGACTGCATAAATCTGAAAGAATCGTCAAACAAAAAGTGTAAACCACTTGGTATCAATGTAAAAGAAAGATATCAAAGAAATATCAGAGTCAAATATCATATAAAATCCTTATTTAAGTCAAAGATGCAAAAAATATTATCAATGATTATACATTATTGAATAAACTGTAAATAGCTGTACCCTTACCGTATTAATCCAGAACATTACAAACATTATAACCATAAACTTTACAATACATTACATGAAAATGATAAATTCAAATATCAAAATATGTAATCGAGATGATGTTTTTTGGTGTGGTGGTCTATACATTATAAGAATTGCTACGTAACAATTTTAGAATAGGCCTGGGGCATAGAATAAGCTTAATAAGTATTTTGCAATGTGAGTTTTACAATAATAATACAACAGTTACATACCATGTTTGTAAAACAAGTGCCCTGACAAAAACACTCTCCTCCACTGTCAACTTTCTCATAATACTGTTCTGTAATTTAAATTGATCATATTCATGCCAGATTTAATAAGAAGTAAAACGGCAGTTGTAGACCTGCAATTACAATGTTGTTTTTTTTCGCTAATGTCAAATCTGACGATTGAAACGCGGAGAAATACCAAACAAAACGTCCTCATTCTAGCAATCCACAATTTCAGGCAACCAGTACATAATACAAACCCTATACCAACCTCAGTCTTAAAACCAAACCATTTAATTTTAATCATAAAAGTACAAACTCAATTTATAGATTTTCCCAAACCCCCCCCTTTTAAATAAAAAATTTAAAAGCCCCCATACGTACAAAAATTGATCCCAGGGGAGCCTAACTTTCCCAAGTTTGATAATTAAATCGCATGGAATCTTTTCGAGCCCCTTTCCCACTAATCCTACACCCAAAACCGATTCCCATCGAATGTACACAAATCACCGGCACGTTTCCACCTTTTGGCCCCACACAAATTTTTCATAAAATCCCCCCAAAAGGGGCCCCAAATACAAAAATTCAAGTCCCAAATCTTTCTTTTTTAAGGATAAGGGTTTTTCCCAGGGCCCTTGTACGGTCTTACCGGCCCCTCACATCACATGGGACGTACACGAAAAACCACCAGAATACCTGGCTGCCCACCCTCAATCGCTAGATCTACCCCCCAGAGTACTTGCTGCATCACATCATACTAGAATGTATCCAAAGAACAAAGTTTCCACGCACAAAAAGAATGCAAGAAGGGCCACCAGGCTCGCCGACCACCCAACCTTCTGCCCCTGCCGAGCCTGAAGAGCAGAGGGACACACCAAAGTATGTCAGTCTTATCATGATTTCTAATTCCCTTATACTGTCATCAATTGCATCTGGCATTGTTTTATATTACCTATATTCACATATAAAGATGTTATGTCAAGTCATCAGAATGGGTCAATTTATATCAAAACATACACGAATAGGTGATAATTCCAGCATAACTCAAACAGAAAAAAGGCGGGACCCTATGTTAACCCTGTGAAAGTCGAGTAAATCGAGTGAAAGTCGTGTTTAATCGTACCAGGCCGTACTAGACTATACTTGGAACCTCAACCATCGTATGTATTCGTATGCAAATCGTGCTCATACCTTGCTTGACCGAGTATATCCGTCCTATTTTGTTTCCGTTTTATGTTTTTAGTTATGGTTGTACATATCTTTATGTTTAGGTGTAACTGCATACAAGGCAGACTATCCAAAAAGAAAGACAAAGAAGGAAAAACATCCTTCTCGTAAGCATCAGAGTACTTCTAGTAATAAAATGACACCATTTAAAAGTAAAGGCTCAAAAGAAGCAGAAAATGAAGCCCATGTACGAAAACACTTTCCAGAAACATGGATCTGGTCTTCATTTCAAATACAGTATGTCTCTATGTCATTTTGCAGATTCTGAAATGTATATTATCAACTTATACCACAGCCAAATTTTCATTTTCTTAATATTTTATATCTGCTCTTTACTTTCACTACTTCATCATCTTCCATTTATATCATATGTAAACACACTATAATTACTATTATCTGTAGGAATTTTTATTAGTTTCTCTAGCATTAGTCACATATAAACTGCTATGAAATATATAATCCATTAATTTGGACTATGTTGTATATAATCCGTTCATATTGATACATTTTAGCCAAGCATATTGTCCTATTTTGTAAGTCTATTATAAGTATTGGTAATGTTTATATTGTTTGGCAATATTGACTCAAGACATATAAATTTTAGGGTGTTTTTTCGTTAGTTTCCATAATGCAATCCGATTTACCAATTAATTTTAATGATAGTAAAATTCCCTAGACTCTCATTTGCATAATTACGACCCGATGGCCTAATGAAAAGTAGGATGGCATTACAATCGCGACGTTGTAGGTTCGAATCCTCGATAAATTATCTTTTTTTAAAGATTTCGTTCATATTGTTATAATCATATAAAGCATTTAATTTAGTAGATAATCCATTTGAATATTTCGGTTTGTTGTTGTTGTTGTTGTTTTAATTTCATAATTTGATATAAGTGCCCATTTTATTTTTCATAATTTCAATATGAAAGTAGTACAATGGGTGATTGGTATGCAGAAAAACATGGTAATCAAGTTGATAAAAAAGTGATGTTTCACTAAGATAAGAACCTACTGTACCTTCAAATTAAAAGTTTAAGACTCTACTCATTCAATGAGTCTTCTATTCTTCACTGAGGCTTTTAGGTTTTGTGAAAGTAATTTCAAGATAAATAAACCATGTATACCGCTATGCCATACCTTAAAATCCGTATAATTTACTTCGGAATCAGATAATTACCAACAAAAGGTCATTTAATATTTAAATGTCTCAGGTCAACATTGCAAAATAATTCAGAGAAAAGCAAAATCAAAAATTCATTTCACGTGACCTTTTATAAAACGTCTAATGCTATGATATAACGGCAGAATGATATGTTTCCATTGTTGTGTTTTATACTGGTAATCTAGTTCAATATATCATTATTACTAATCCTTCTTTCACAGAGTTGATATGTTATTAATACATTCTTGTCTGCTATTTGTTTAAACAGATCCAATGGTACTGTCTCAATAGAAGACACTGTTCCAGATACCATTACATCTTGGGTAGCCACTGCGTTCGCTATCCATCCAGATTCAGGCCTTGGAATTTCTTCAGTACCAGCACAGGTATAAAAGTGAATATCCTTAATTCAGATTTAGTATTTGTGTCCAATAAAACTAAATTAAATAAGACAATAAACAAGCGTCGTCGCTATGTTAGACTTTGATGAATTCGTTGTTCATTTTTGCTTTTTATATGAATTCATATTTTCATCATCATTTAGTCATATAGTCATATACATTTATTTACTGCACCTGAACTTTGTTTTTCTTTATTTATTTTTAATCAACTTCAATAACCTTCATTTATGGCATATTGCTGCCAGTCAAGAAAATGATAATGAAAAAAATTAATATTCATGTTTCTATCGGTGTGATCATCATGCATTCTTATTCTTTCGTTATTCGAATTGTGTTAGAGCTTTGTGTTTTAAAGCTTCTGTTAAAAAAATATCTTATAACATTATTATTTCTAGCTTGAAGTTACAATGCCTTTTTTTGTGTCGGTAAACCTGCCTTATTCCGTGGTAAGGGGAGAAAAAGTGATAATACAAGTTAATATTCACAACTACAGTCCACAACAACTGTTTGTAAGTTTATCTGTAAGATTTCTAATTTTCTGACATCAATATCTAAAATAACAAATATAAAAAAAATGAAATAGTACATCATAGAAAATTACTAAGTATGTTTTCAACATAATTTTAATACGCATTTATTTTTGAATAAGTACATATTTAATATCCGTGTTGAAGTAATGAAGGCACTGATGACAACTGTTTTTCGTGGAATTGATATTAATTCCATTTTGTCATTTTACTTGTACAAATGAGTTCAAACTACGTTGCTTAATGCAATATAATCCATAAAATGTTTTTATTTTACAGACATCAATCAGTTTGAAGAAAAGCTCAGAATTCGATTATGTCAAAATCGAAGGAACCAAAACATCAATTGCATCCATTGATGCTTTTCGAACAGTAACGGTAAGTGTGGAACTTAACTAGTAAATAGGCTTTTAGATTAAAGGATAATAACGCTCATGGAACGTTTCCTTCTAACAACTTTCATTCATTAAAGACCACCAGAAATATAACCAGTGGGCAAACAAGAAGATCGGATGGATCGGGGGAGTAGAAACGACAGTTTAGACCGTCAATTATGTTAACGTACACAAAAAATGAAGCATTTGCTGTGGGTTTTTTTTGCATTGATAGTCAAAACTCGAGTAAATCATCTCCAATACCCAATATTTTACTTGTTATACACAGTAGATTTATTCATGCTTTTTATTTGTTTGGGTCGTCAGACCAAACAAATAATGGTAGTAAAATTTCAGACCCTGATATGCTTATTTGCAAAAGCCGAAAGTAGTCCGGGAACAATTAAGGGGAGATCGCTCCGTAAAGATTGTCAAATGGCAGGCGCATTAATTTTCAAGCCTTCTCGGGGAAGAAAAAATAGTTTTCGATTGGTCGAAGATTTCTAATATTGTGTAATTATTTACAGATATACATGCTTATATTAAGCTCCATGATTATTTACATCAGTGTTAAACAACAGGTTTAACGTGAACAAAATATCTCGAAATTAGTAAAGGTTACAAACCCTTCTTTAGAATAATGTGGTTTTGTTCAGGCTGTTATTTTATAACTTCACCGTGGTCGAAGGGTTTCACGTTCGTTTAAGAAGCGAGACGCCTGGTGCTCAAATCCTAGTTAACCCATTACTTCATGAGCATTTTGTGATAATGGCTGTTTTCATTGAAAAGTCTCCCGTTACAAGTGCAAATTGCTATAATACTATAAAAACTGCTTCAACACTAATCAAACTTGGCATAAATGTTGACTTGACCATTGCTTTTAAAACAACATGCTCAGGCTTAAATTTTCTGTTACCATGGCAACGAGGGGACATCTCAAAATTGCCAAAAATTACTAGTTTGCGTTGATTTTTTCCATCAAAATTGATTTCAAAGTGCTGCAACTTCTCAATGGATTGAGATAAAGTCAAATGCTTTTTAGCGTTGGTTACACGTTACCTTATGATCAATCTGGGGTCATTTATAGCCTTTCACAAGTCCAAAATTTTCTTAGCGACAACAAAAACGGGGGTGGGGGTGAAAAAGGCGTTAAAAGGTGTGTATATCGCGTAATGGGTTAAGGCAACTCACGTTGTTTATTCATTTATTTATTTTTTAAATTGGTTAAGCCAAATAAACATTGAATTGAATATCAGTGTTGCAATTAGCATTATAGCCATTTTACTACAGTTACAACACTGGAAACAGCATTGGTGGCACTATACAATCAAAGCAGAGAAGGCGCTGACATTGTTTGGGTCTCAGAATGTCAAAAAAGTTAAGGTTGTGAAATTATAAACATATTTGTTTTTGTATAGTGCCACCAATGCTGTTTCCAGAGTTATAACTTTAGTAAACTGGCTATAAGACTAATTGCAACACTGATATTCAATAAAATGTTTATTTTAACAAAAAAAAAATAAAAAAAATGAGTTGCTCTGACTGGGATTTGAACTCCAGACCTCTCGCTTCCTAAGCGAGCGTGTAAACCGGGATATTATTGAACAACGGCCTGAAGAAAACCACATTATTCTAAATTAGGGTTCGTACCCTTTTTTGTTCACGGTTAACCTGATGTGTAACACTGATGTAAATAATGAAGGAGCTTAATATAACCCATGTATATCTGTAAAGAATTATTCAGTATAAGAAATCTTCGACCAATCGGGAACTATTCTTTCCCGAGAATGCTCGAAAATTAATGAGCCTGTCATTTGACAATCTTTAATCAATGATTTCCCCTGAATTATTCGGCGTTAGTGTACATATAAAGGGAAGTAACCGCTTCGTGGAGTTTGGACTACTTTCGGTTTTTGCAAATAAGCACACCAGGGTCTGAAATTTCGCTACCATTATTTGTTTGGTCTGACAACACAAACAAATGAAAAGAATATGATTTATAATCTCATAACCTTCCCATTTCTGACATTCTGAGACCCAAACATATTCAGCGCCTTCTATGCTATGATTTATAACAGTGTCTAATTAAATCAAAAACGTTTAAGCCTAAGTCATTGTAAATAGTTAGTTTCATCGTGAGTGTTATTTGTATGTATTGTTTTTATCAGAAACAAATTAAACAATTAAACAGTGTCCCAGTGGGTTGATAGGGTTTGATATTATACATATACATAGTTTGAATTTAAATATTTTTTTTTTAATCTATTTATACTTTGTTATCTAAAATCCCATAATTATGTCGCAACATTTCTTTAAGGTCGGCGCTGATGAAGTGTTAGCTGTGTATTTTCCTATCGTACCACGGAAAATAGGGCTAGTTGATATCAACGTGCAAGCGAAGACACCAATTCAGGCTGATGCTATAAAGAAAAAACTTCTTGTCGAGGTACGATTATATTCCTAGAAGATCAAACATTGATAAAACATATAAAAATACGCGTTCAAGATTTTAACTTGAAACATTTAATTATACCTTTTAATTGCAATCTAAAATATTACACCAGAGATAATAAAAAATAACGCAGAGTTTTGCTATTGCAAAAACAGAGGTGGTAAAAATTTAGTCCATAATATACTGTACTAAATCGAAACATTTAATAAACAAGGTAATCTTAAAAAATATGAAATGTGTGTTGCAAGCACACTATGAGGACTAAAGTCTGTAGTATGTAGTTTGTAGTTTTAAATCATTATTAATATATCTGGCTTTTATTATACATGTATAACATTTCTATCAACCATTACCATATAAAGTACTAATGTGTTATAATAATTACATGTATATAAATGTTCGTATTTTTAGGCTGAAGGTACTCCTCGTGAATATAATTTACCCATTGTCGTCGACTTGAGAAATTATGGAACAGTTACCAAAACTGTAAACACTGAGTATCCACTCCGTACAGTTAAAGGATCAGAAAGGATGACGGCAACTTTGATTGGTAGGTAGAATGTGTACTCTTTTCAAAGCTGAGTGGTACAGTACTAATAATAACAGCTATTATTCAGCTATTTAAAATTGGTTGTTGAAATTATGACTGATTTCATCATGTAGCGACTCAATTCTTAAAACTTGTAGCTTATTTTTTTAACGGGACTCATGTAATTTATTGTTGATTTTCCGTCATACAGCCTTTTGTTATTTTTTTTTTCAAATTTAAAAATGGTCGACAATGCATGTTTTTTACATGTCTCATATTAAAGACATTATGTTTGATTTTTCGAAATTGCTCTCGTAAAAATTAAGAAAACATTTCTCATATCCATAGGTGATTTAATGGGACCAAGCATTAATGGCTTAGACAAGTTGCTGAAACTTCCAACTGGATGTGGCGAACAAAACATGCTGAAGTTTGCACCTAATATATATATTGTAAAATATTTAGAGGCAACAAACAACCTTAATGAAAATATAATGGATAAA